ACCCCGGTAGTGCCAGGGCTGAAGGGCTTTTCGACCCCAAATGAGGTTCCCCGCCCCGTTAACTCTGGTAGCATTGTCTGATGGTTAGAGAAAAGGGGTGGCACGGGAATCAGGTGCCTGGATTCTAGTCCTGTCGCTGAGAGGAAGTGGTGTCTGGTGGTTAGAGGAAGGGGAGGGGGTAGGGCCCGTGGGAATCAGGATTCCTGGGTTCTATTCCTGGCACTGAGAGGAAGTGGAGTCTGGTGGTTAGAGCAAGGGTGGGTGTGGGTGTGGGAATCCAGACTCCCAGGTTCTATTCCTGGCTCTGAGAGGAGATAGCATCTGGTGGTAGATCAGGGAGGGCTGGGAGTCAGGACGCCTGGGTTCTCTGTGTATCACTATATATAAAATGTGTGCGTACTGTTTATTTGTAGTATTTGGTTAGGATCCAGGGGTTCCTGGGAATCAGGTCCTGCTCGACTGCATCTAGGTCAGACCCTGCCCGGTGCAAGCTTGTTCCCTGCAAAGTACTGTCTGGTCTAGTTGTAAGCGGCTGGAGCAATGGGGCCTTTACCGCGTCCCTGCACAGAGCTCCCCGCAAAGAAATCTTTCCAGATTCACCCTGCATTTGCCCTCCTCCCATCCCATTCCCCTCTTGCTGGCAGGGGCCTGAGCTAAGCCCGCTGAAGTCAACGGAAAGAGTTCGACCAGTTTTGGATCTGGCCCCCTGGGCGTGCGTCTCGGACACCCTCCCAGGCTGTGACCAGAGAAAGCCCCAAGCGCGGAGGAGAACGCCCGCGCTAGGAACCTGCTGGAACACATTGCGTTCACTGGGTTCTGGGGCTGGAAGTCCTGTCAGGGCTCATTCGGGTCCTGGGCATGATCCCTTTCATCAGCCCCCGGAGAGCAAGAGCAGCGGCGGCCAAATCCGTAAACACGGGGCAGCCACTGACCCGCCTGGCAAAAGACTCAGTCGCGCCGGGGAGAGCGGGGGCGGCCAGGGGGGCACCGTCTCCCTGTGGCATTTGTCAGACGTAATTGTCACCACGTCTGGCTGGCTCTGCAGCAAGGATTCTTGGCCAGCCGCTCTCTGTCCCAGTCGGCACTGGGGCAGCCCCCCCTCGCCAATGTGCTGCTGCTGCTCCCTGACCCACTCTGTCTGTTTAGATCTGGGCCTGAGCTGGCCCCTGTCATCCGAGTAGCTGAGCTCCTCGTCGACCTCAATGGATTTAAAGGAGGCAGGGCAGTGCCATTACCCCCATTGTACAGATAGGGAAACTGAGGCCAACTCCTCAGGCTAGGCCCCTAAATCCCTCTGAGGATCTGGGCCCAAGAGACGAAGGGCTAGACTGTGAATGGGATTTCGAGTACTAGAGAGGGACGCTCACCAGGGTTGCCAGCGTTATATTTGAAAACTACAGGGCAATTTTCTTAGCATCGTGATCCCCTTTGCCTCCCCCGATGAGGGACCCTAAAATCCTGCTGTGCCCACACATATCCCACGGCAGGCACCAGCACCAGGCACACATGGGCCAGGCTGGGGCAGGTACCTGTTACTCGCCAGCCACCCTCTGCGCATGGGCGGGGGGGAAAGAGAGCAGCACGAGGGCCAAACGCGGATGCCTCCTGTGACAGTCAGCCGCGTCCTGGGCAGTGTGCTTCCATGTTCAGCCTGCCCTAGCCCCTCCCGTCCCCAGGAGCTCAGCGGCCAAAGGGGAGTGGGGAGAGCTGCAGAGACCAAAGGCGTTCTGTGCTGCTTCAGTATGAGGCAGGCGATGTTTTATTTATAGAAAGGCTCTCCCTGATAATACGGGGCTGCTGGCACCCCTCGGCACCACTGACCTTGTCAAAGCTGCAGTGCGCCCCTCTGGTGCCTAACTCCCCTAGGCACCTACATTTCTGCTGGTTGGCCATTGGAAAGCAGGCTGAGTTCTGGGTTCAAGGAGCAACTTGAAGCCAGCGGGGCCCAGTCCTGTAGCTGTGCTTGGAACACCCCTAACCGCTGATACCTGCCAGCCCCTAACCACAGCAGGAAGGCCAGATGCAGGCCACCGGTAGGTGCGGGGCATGGGGGAGGAGCACAGCACCCACAAAAAAGACAGCCGGGGGCATGTAAGGTGAGCTGGAGAGGCGGGACTCACCACTCCCCCTCCTTGGGTCTGCTCAGAAGAAGAGTCAACCTGAACCTTTGCCAGCGTTTCATGATTCATCCATTCCAAGGCCAGGAGGGACCCTGGAGACCATCTAGTCCGACCCCTTGTATGACACAGGCCAGCGAACTGCCCTCTCCAATCGCTCCTGGAGCAGATCTGAGCAGGGGGCCAAAACCTGACAGTCCTTCTGCAATCTGGAAACCTTTGGCTTCACGTTCTCTCCCTGCTCTTGTGGCTCAAACCCCGATTTCCACGTGGCGGTTGGGACAGGAAGCAGGAGCAGAGACCGCTGCTTTCCCAGGACTCCCCGCCTGTTCACAAGCAGGTAATCTGTGAGGATGGCCAGGCCGGGGCCCCGGGGCAGCCCAGCTAAAATCAGAATCCCTGTCCTTGACTGTGTCCTGGAGCTTTATAATAGAATATCAAGGCTGGAAGGAACCTCAGGAGGTCATCTAGTCCAACCCACTGCTTAAGCAGGGCCAATCCCCAGACAGATTTTTACCCCTGTTCCCTAAATGGCCCCCTCAGGGATCCAACTCACAACCCTGGGTTTAGCAGGCCAGTGCGCAAACCACTGAGCTATCCCTCCCCTTTAGAGGGAGATGCAAGACATCCCTTAAAGCAGGATGGTCTTGTTAAGCCACTGAGCTGGGCCTCAGTCTGAGATCTGGGCTCTACTCCCAGCTCTGCCCCCGATTTCCAGTATGACCTTGGGCATGTCGTTTAGGCCCAGATCTTCAAAGACGTCCTAATGAAATCAAGAGGAGTTGGGTGACCTAAATAGCTCTGCGGGTCTGGGCCTTAATCGCTCTGGGCCTCAGTTCCCCAGCTGTAGAATGGAGCTAATAATCTCCGTTCCTCCCCCCCGCCCCGCCGCCTTTGTCTGGCCTGTTCAGACTGCGGGATAGGCACTCACTCTCACCACGTGGCTGTGCAGCGCCCAGCACCGGAGGGCGACTAATAATAACTATGCCGTACCGTGGCCGCAGAGGAAGGGTTTTCCAAGCCCGCACCTGTTTGAGGTTGGTTTGTGTCCCGAAGTCCAGATCTGCTGAGGGATTTTGTCCCTTCGCGAGGCCGATCCCCTCCCACATGCTCAGTCAAAAATAGCCAAGTTTCCACGTGTTTACACTCTAGCTCAGCCCTACCTGGGGAATTTGGCTGGGCAAGAACGCACGGTCCAGCCTCTCGGGCGTGAGCTGCAGCCCTCGTAACTGCAAACCCCAGGATGGGGTTGGGCTGGTGTTTGGAGGGGAGCCTGCCAGGTGCAGCTGGAAGTGTTTGTGTGACGCTCCCCAGGGATGAACCATCTCTCCAGTCTGGTGCTGGGTTTGGGGGCTGGCTATGGCTAGAGACCTAAAACCCAATCTCATGGCAGGTTTTATGGTGCTTTCCTCCAGAGAGGATTTCTCTGTGCCACTCCAAGTTGGGGGGTCTAGTTATTATCGCTCCTCTTATCCTAGCCATGTACGGCCAGGCCTGCTAGAGCCAAGGGGAAGACCGGCTTTCTGTTTAAAGAGCAACTCTTCTAAAGTGCTCTAAAATCCACACGGTTGCTTGGATTTCCTTGAATTTCAGTGTGCCTCATGGGGGCACTGGCAAGGGTTAGTGAGCCAAATTTGGGCTAATTTGAGCAAGGGGTTCCCGAGATACTGTTGTTGCTTTACAGCACCCAGAAGAGAGCTGGGTACTTCCCAGAACAGCATGGGCTGATGTTAGGAGTTGAGGCGATCGGTAGGAGAGAGTGTGTGTGTGTGTGGGGGGGGGGGGGGGTGGACGAAGGATGAGGGGTTCTAGCAAGAGACTCCAGGTCTCCGCGGCCACCTTTCCGAAACTGACAGTGGCCAGATCCTGTACGGCGCTTTTCAGCCACAGAACACCAGGCGCCTTCCAAAGGGGGTCAGTGCCATTAGCTTGACGTTATAGGTGGGGAAACTGAGGCACGGAGGAGGGGAAGGGACTTGCCCACGCTCACCCTGCAGGCCAGTGACAGAGCCAGGGATAGAACCAGATCTCCCAGGCCAGCGCTCTATCCACTAGGCCAGGCTGCCTCCCTAACTATGAAGCTAGGCGTGTCCTTTAGCGAGTCCGGACGCCTGGGTTCCCTTCCGATTTGTGCCGCTGAGTCCCTATACCAGCTTGGGCAAAAATAGGGGGTCCAGACGTCCTGATATGAGGGGCTTTGTTTTGCAACAATACACCCTAGGGAGGTTGTGGAATCTCCATCTCTGGAGATATTTAAGAGTAGGTTAGATAAATGTCTATCAGGGATGGTCTAGA